GGTGTGTCAGAAGGACCGGAGGTTGGGGATTATGCAAAGCTCCGGGGGCAGCTCATTCCAGAGGGAAGGCGGTCCCACAGAGAAGGCTCTCCCCCCTACGGGTCGCTAGCCGACATTGTCTGGCTGACAGTACCCTGAGAAGGCCAGCTCTGTGGGATCGCACTGGACAGTGGCAGTAGGTGGTCTCGCAGGTACCCTGGGCCTAAGCCATGGAGCGCTTTAAAGGTCATAATAAGTACATTGAATCGCACCTGGAAGACAACCAGCAACCAGTGCATGCCGCCTAAAAGGGGTGTAACATGAGAGCACCTAGGTACCCCCATGATAACCTGCGCGGCCGCATTCTGAACCAGTTGAAGCTTCCAGGTGCTCTTCAAGGGCAGCCCCGTGTAGAGAGCGTTGTACCCTCCTGGGCCGGGATCACGGCGGCAGGGACAGTGACTCCTTCTGCTGCCGCCACTGAGAAGTGAGTAGCTGGCTGCGCTGCACAGGAGAGCCACACTGCTCAGGAGACTCATCAGCGCCAATCTCAGGTCAGCACAAGCCGTGGTCCCCTTCGTGTTGGCTCAGGAAGGATCCTCAGCAGCCATCTCTGAATGCAGAGAGGGAATAGTTCCAGAGCCCTGCAAAAGGCAAACCCTATACAGCGCAGGAGAGCTAGAGTTCTTCCATCCCTGCACCCAACCAGCTGCTACTGCTGCTCCCCATTCCCTCCTTCCTGAGCCAACACGAAGGGGACTGCAGCTCGCACTGCCCTGAGTCTGGAGCTGAGGAGTCTCTTGTGCAGCGTGGCTCTCCTGCGCAGCACAGCCAGCTACTCACTTCTCAGTGGCGGCAGTCGAAGGAGTTGCTGTCCCTGCCGCCATGATCTTGGCCCAAGAGGGTATTTTGCTTGCATGTACGTGTAAGAGATAAGCACAAGAAAAGAGCTGGAGTTCTTCCCGACACTGAGTTGCCTGTGAAGGAGGTGGAATCGCAAAAGCAGGCGAGAGCAGATTGCGCGATTGGGTCAGTAGGGAGCCGCAGGAGAGGGACCAAAGAGCCGCATGTGGCTCGCGAGCCACGGTTTGCCGACCACTGGTCTAGCCTATTGAGAAGGATTAGGATGACATGATAGTTGTCTTCTCGTACTTCAGGGGCTATCACAAAAAAGAATGGGTCAAGCTAGTCTCCAAAGCACTTGTGGGGAGAACAAGAAACAGTGAATGGAAGCTTGTCAGAAAGAGATTTAGCCTGAAACTTAGGAGAAATGTCTTGTCAGTGAGAACAATTAAGTAGTGGAACAGCTTGCCTCCTGGAGATGTGGGTGCTCCATTGCAGGAGGTTTTCAAGAAAAAAAATTGGACAGCCATTTGTCCATAATGACATAAGCAGGAGGTTGGACTAGAAGACCTCTAAGATCCCTCTGAGTCCTATTATTCTGTGACTTCTAAGATGGCATGTTTAGTCTTGAGAAGGTTCAAAGGAGAACTTGATAGTACTTTGTATAAAAGGTTGTCATTTCATGTTCTGTAGTGTAAGTCATAGAATAATGGGTTTCAATTACAAAGGTAGATTTCAGCTGAGCATTAGAAAAAAAATTCCCAACAATAACATCAATTTAGCAGCAAAGCCAATTACCTAGAGGAGGGATAGAGTTCACTTGGTTGGATGTACAGTATTTGACATCAAGGCCCCAGAGCCACCTGTCTAGAATACTTCAATTTGGATTCCTTCACCAGAGGTTGACGTAATGGTCTACCTGCCCCCTTCCAACTCTTATAATATGACCTTTTTAAATTACAGTTATATCTCCTTCTTTTACAAATGCTTTAATTTTATTTTTAGAATATACTAGAATCAAGTAAAACAGGACCTTTGGGGAAAGAAGGATTATTAAGCAATATAGACCAAATTCACATCCAAACCAAAATGTAAAACTGAAATCCTCTATATCAGTTTTTATTAATTTTTGCAAGAAAATGTATATTGCCCCAGACAGTTCCTCCAACTCAGCTACAAGTCTTAGAAGCTGATTTCAGATTCCACATGGAAAAACTAGAAGACTATGTGCTTCAGTATCACAGATGAAACTTGTTTGTCAGCCATCAATTTGTGGTATTCCCAGTGTGTGTGCATGCATGCTTGCCAATATGCACATAAAAATGTGAATGGTTTCTAGTAAATTACAGAAACAGTATTTCCCTTTATTTTACTTTTCCAACAATCTATATATGCTTCAGCAGGATTGAATGACCTTAATGGTGTTCTTCAAAGCTTTCTGATTTTCCAAGAGTTCTTCAGTACATTGACATGCTATTGTCCTGTCCTTGAGTTAGCAGAAAGTATACCAACATCTTAATTGCATGCCCATGCTGCCTGAAGGCCCATTCCTCTTCAGTGGCAAAGTCAGAGTCTGATGCTGTCCTAACAGTTTTAAAGTAGGGCAGCTCACGTGTAGCAATTGGCTGACCTCTTGAGTTGCATTTGCCCTTCAATCCAGTGTGTTTTTAATGTGAGGTGGAGCCTGCCTGGAGTACAACGATTGCCGTGGTGGGTTCATACTGGTTTTGTTGAACCGGTAGTGGTTTGGTGGCCTGGGTCACTAGAACCGACAGCGACCCAGGTCTGCCACGCCCCAAACCGGTTCCCTGGGCAGCACCATTGGTGCCACCATCTTGTTTTTAAGTTCTGCGCATGTGCAGAACAATTTTAATTGCACTGTGCATGCGTGTGTAGTGCACACCTGAGCGAACTGGCAGTAGTGCCTGCCAGAACACACTCCTGTATGACTGGTACCTGGAATGGAGATTTTTACGCACTTTCAAATTGCTGGAATTACACATTGCTTTCATTGAGGTTCTCCATTGTACAGAAATATCCAGGCTGCTTATGTCTACCATTCTTCTGGAAGAGCCCTCTAGCCATGTCCAAAATGAAGAAAAGAGAAGCCGATAGGTCACAAGCATGATGGGTGAAGTGTGAAGAAATCATATCTGTTTCTTTCTGTGCTCTTCTATTCTGTGTTTAGTCTGCTGCCCCAACTATTTTAAATAGTGTTCTTTCAGAAGAGCGGTAGCCATGCATACCCTGACAGGTTAAAAAAAAAAGCATTATAAGGAAAATGCAAAGGGAATCAAGAATGGTCCTTTGCATTCTATTCCTTTGTTAACACCTTATGCGGGATGGAGTAAAGGGAAATTAAGTAATGCAAGGAAATGTCAATGTTGGCAGGAAGTGGTCGGGTCAGATTTATCCTAGATGCCAGTGGCTTCTCTTTGAGACTGAAAGATGAAACAGGCAGCATTCTTGTCAGTTTCACTGTGTCTCATCTATATCCCAAATCAGTAATTGCTGCAGAATAATGTCAGCAAGAGTAGCCTAATAAGTACAGAAAATTGCACTGGAGTAGGCAGAACAAGACACACACACACACATTAAAAAGGGCAATCATGTAAAATGTCTTGCAATCAAAACAGCAGAAATATACTCATTTGTAACATAAACAGTAGTAAACAGTTGGCAGAATTCTCTTTGAAGGAATGAATGGATTTGCCTTCATTTGTGAGAACTCTCTTTGCCCATTTAAATCAACCAAGACACTGGTCTTTTATTTTGGTTTATAAATGACGTCTTTTTCAAAAGAAGGCTAATTATGTTTAAAAACAGATCTAACACTCTTAAGTGCTAAACCTGTGTTTATAACAACTATGCAGGCCAGGTGCATTGACGAAGGTAGAGGTTTTGATCTTTTTAGCAGCCTAAGTCAAAATAGGTATAGAAGGTTGTAGCCAGCAACTTCTGGGCAGGAACATACCACCGCAGCCTTAAGAAGCAAGTAGGTATTTGGCATATGCCAACCTCTGAATACATCATCACCAACATAATCACCCAGCCATCACAGATTATACAACAATATGTGTGTTGGAAGAATGGAGAAACCAATATTTCAATATTAGAATATACTTTAAGCTGCCTATAGTAAGCAGAGCCTGAAATGAAAGCAATATCAAGAGGATTTGTTTTCAGAAATCTGCTAACAAGGCCTATGTGTGCCATGGTTAGCTGGATATAAGAATAATACTCAAAAGGACTTAGAAGAGTACATAGAATACGAGCTGCAGGTAGTCCTCCACTTACAACCATTCATTTAACAACTTTCAAAGTTAACACTGAAAAAAGCAACCAGTGCTTGCCCTTATAACCATCACAGTGTTCTCATGATCCTGATATTTGCAACCTTCCCAGGGGATTTCCAACAGGCAAAGTCAATTGGGAAAACTGGATTCGCTGAACAACTTTGTGATTTGTTTAACAACCAATGGCAAAAAAGACAGTGAAATTGGGCATGATTCAATTAATGACTGCTTGTCTTAGGGATGAAATTTCCAGCTCCAGTTGTGATCATGAGGCATCTGTACAAAGAGTAAAAGTCTGTTAAAAGTTTTAACTCTTTTGGTAGTGAGTTTGACCACACTTTTTTTTACAAAGGTATTGTGAGAAAGGGCTCGGTTTTACATGGTTTCCATCCTTTTGCAAATCATTCCAAAAATTACATAAAATATGTATTCATGATGCAGCCTATTCTTCTAGAATACAATCAGCCTTGTTCTGAGAAGTTTTGGGGTCCTTCCTTATCTTAGTCCAAAACTCCAAAGGCATACATAGTAATATATAAATAAGTCAGTAGTCAAGTATTTGAACTCTCCTAGAGTTTAAATGCAACTATGAAATCTTCTTAGTGCAGCCCCAGTGGCCCATTTTGACTCTAAAGAAAATACAACAGTGCGATAATTTAAAAAATGGGCAGAATGCTTTTCTGTCAGTTGCAAGTAGAAAAAAATGAACAGTAAAGAATCTATTCCCAAATAGGCTTAAAATACTTTTTAAAATAAGGGTGAAATGTAAGGTCCAGCAAAATTAATAAAAAACGTATCACAGAGATCAGTGGTCCCTAAGTTGAAACTGGACCAGGAACTAGTTTCATGGAAGACAATTATTTCACAGACTGGGGGGCGGGAGGGCAGAGCAGGAGAAGCATGGAACCTAGATCCCTCACATGTTGTTGTGGCCCGCCAGTAGAGCTGGCAGCAGAGTTGGACAGAGAGGAGGCTAGGGAGGAACATGGGCCAGTTCTGGAGTCTGGGGAAGGCTCGGACGAGGTCTCTGCATTGGAGGCAGAGAGGGGGCCAAGACCATCTGGTAGTTATTTGTGGCCTCCGGAGCCTGACATTAGTGAGGTAGAAGAACAGTGGGAGCCTGTTCCCAGTGCGCATGTGCAGAGCTGCCAGAGGGCAAGAACAATTAAGAAAACAGGATCGACTCAGCAGTAAGACTTGGAGATGATTGGCCCCTCCTATAAGACATAAAGAGGAGCGAACGGAACATGAGCTTTTGCAGGAAACAATTAGTTCATCTGGTCAGTTCAAGCTTTGAAAAGTTCTGTTTGACTCTGTGCTAAGTTTGGCCTTGCTCTGCATTTGACAATTGGGTTTCAGGCAGCATTCCAAGGGAGATAAGGTGGGTGTTTATCAACATTCTCCTGAAAGACTGTGGCAACTCCAGTAGACATCTGTTGGAATCTTCACAGACTGTTTATTTAGCCGTGAGGACTGTGAATAACCATAATTCACAGCCATATAAATAAAAGAGGGCTTTTGGAACTAAGATTGTGATTTATGCTTTCTCAGGAAGCCTAGGTCAGAACACATGTAGTTTACAGCAGAGTTCCCGCTGCTATAAGAATCTAATGCTTGTTGATCTGAGGTGGAGCTGAGACAGGGATGCTAGTGCAGGGGAGTGACTGCAAATACAGAAGAAGCATCACTTGCTTACCCGCGGCTCACCTCCAGTAGTGCACCCCGGTTTCTAACAGGCCACAGATCAATACCTGATAGAGATATTTTATAATTACACTTGCCATGATATCTAAAAACACACTAAATGATATTTTTTTCTTCACCTTTCCCTTCTTCTTGTTGGGGTTTCCAAAGATCGCTCAGTTGTCTTGGATTGAGAAAAAAGTAGCTGCTGCTCTTTTTGGGACTCCGCCAACTTCAACAATACATGAAGCTTTGCAGAATTTTTTGAAGGTAAATAAAATATTCTCTCTTCTCTCTGGCTGCCAACTGGCTGGCATTCAAGAAATTTGTTCAACAAATTGTTCTCAGGAGCTATAAAGTCAGCGCTCATCAAAAGATTTTTCAGACAATATCTTTAGAAGGGTGACCATTCCTGTTCACCTAAGCTGAATTTCAAGATTTGCTACGTTGTTCTTTTTTTTCTTTTTTTTTTGCAATTAAATATTCAGCTCTTTGAATTCTATCCATAGAGTTGTTTATGAGCATTTCCTGTGGGAATAGCTCCTGTTGTCATCTTTTGACTAGTTAAACACAGGAAGTTTGTATGAGCAATTTAATAATTGCTGCTTAGCACAAATGCCTTAAAGAGATTAGAGCTTTCATCCCCCTCTCTTCTGCTTTCCCGCCTCTTTTTTTCTCTTTGTTACTTCATTTAGGGGGAGGGGGGTGTCTTGACTTTAATCCTTAGTGCTAGTTAAGAAGCAGAAACAATGGATCAAGTCTAGATTTCAGACAGTTTCCCTGTTCTTGTCTCCCTCAGATCCCTTACTGAAAGTATAAATAGTCCAGCAGCTTCTGTTGAATGACTTTGATAAGAAAGGATATGAAGATCATGGGAGAAGAATAGGCCTTGCAAAATGATTTTGCCTGTTCCTCCCTGAGATCCTTCCTTCCACCTCCCACCACTCTACAAGCTGTACTATTTCAACAGTTGGTAGAAACCGAGCAGATATTAAGTCTATTTTTGCTCACTGAATTGGCTGTAATGGTTCAGTGGTAGGTGAGCTGCTGGCTAACAGTGTCAAACTTGTGGCGTCTATATGGTACCTACATGATTGAAATGTCTCGTTTTTGCTTGTCCCAGGTACAGTCTTTGTGTGTTGCTGGCTTCATTCTTGGATGAACCACACCCTATGGATGTCCGCAACCTTACTCTTTCTGACTAACTTTTGGGAAGATTTATTTGCTTTGTAAGAATCATGTCATTGATGGAGAATTGGCACCTGAGGCTTTGACATCAGCTCAGGATTGGTGCCATACCTCTATGATTCCTTGTCCTGCTGAGTAGCTGAGGTTATTGACTTCTTTGGGGCATCATGAATCACCTAAATTCTGTTGGTTTTCAACATAGTAACTCTTCCAAAGCTTAGGAGCAAGTTAATTCTCAATGATGAGAACTCATTTTCTAAGATTCTTGCCAAAACACCCCACTTGGACCAAACAATGGCATTTATCAATACCTTTTAATATTTTTCCCTGTAAAAACAGAGACAGCAAAGTAACAATAGGCATGAAAGCACAGTACTAGCTGCCTGTCAATGTGTATCGTTAGCATTAGCAATTCAAGGAGAGGCCCAGAAATGGGAGATTGGTATTGTGAAGACATTGAGCAGTACAAAATATTTTGAAGGTTTGGGGCATGAAAACAATAATTAAATGGAAATATGCCTAGTATTGCTATGGCATTCTCATCTTTCTATCTTTTGCCCTTATACTCAGGCTGAAGAAATACACCCCAGATATTCTAAAAGCAACTATCTGTATTTGACAAAGGTATGGGGCATTGCGGTCATTCTCTACTTTAATTTCTTTTCTCATGTTTGATTTTGAATGCAAACCAAATTCCTGGTCACTAAATACATGTTATATTTTTTTTCCTTGTCCTTTCTTTCTACCTAAGTGCTACAAAGATCTGGGCCAGAGGAACAATGCCCTGAGTTGCTGTGAAACAGCATTGTCCATTCTGCCAGTCACCAAAGAGGTAGGTCTGAAGGTTGTGCATTCATCTACTGAAGGAGGAACAATGAAGACTCCTACAGCTACTTTCCCCACTACATCAGAAGATGTTGTCTGTCTTCAGCAGCTCTGATTAATTTCAGTCAAGGAGCAGAGAAGAAATTCTTGGTAAACTGAATTCTTTAACACTATAGAGGAAGATCTAGAAATGAAAGGAAGGGAAATAATGTGTTCAAAGTCTTGCAAAATAAGGCATAATAAAACAAAAGAACTTCTGATGTCCGTGATTGCAATGTTGAAAATGTGTAAAATCCGATATTATGAAATTATACTTAAGTAGACAATATGATCATAAGGCTAATGTGTAATTTGATTATGAACTGGACAATTTGCAGTGCAGCTAGTGACACTGATTTATGTGGTCTAATTTTGAAATTATTACTGTCTGGTTTAGAAATTACTCTGTGGGATTAAATGGTTAATTAACCCTATTAGGCCCACTGATTCACCATGCTTTAAAATGACTTTAAAAATGGAGAGATAAGGAATCATAGAAATTATATCTCATTGTGATTTAGTTATCTAACACTTTTAACTAGGCAATACATGCAATATAATCTTTGTACAATGAAGATAGAGGTTCGGAATAAATATTATAAATTCCTTTCCAGCATTGATATGTTAATGCTTAGCTATTTTTATTGTCTATCTGCAACTATCTATCCAGCTTGCATTTGAAGACATGAAGCTTTAATACTGGCCTCCAATATAAATAATATTTAGTGTTCAGCTGTCCTTGGGAAATGGCAATACTTGAGCCTCAACTGATTCTAAAGCTAAGCAACATCATTTTTGTTTAAGACTTGGATAGGAGAAATCCAGGGGTCCCAGCATAATAAATTAGACTGGGAAAATGTATCTCTGAAATCAGCAGTGACAATTGATATCCATATTGTTGCCAAGAAAACCACTTGGCTGCCTCTGTAAGTCATTAGGAATTAGCATCTGAGCCACTGAGCCACTGCATCTTGTTTATTATGCTTTTACATAAATGCTTATTTTTATTTTAAAGTAGTGTTTTTGTTGTTTGTTGAATTCGTTAAATTTGTTGTTCATTCAATTCAATTATTTCTGACTCTTCATTTTGCCAGGATTAGTTTCTGGTAATTTTTTAAAACGTTATTGTAAGTTCATGCTTGTGTCACAAGTGATAGTATCTGACTCTCTTGTTTTTTTTGTTAGTTTCCTTCCTTTTATTTATATTTATATTTTAAAAATCATAAAGTAAATTTATGATTTAAATCAAAAGAAAAAGGAAAGAAAAAATAGAGAGAGAGAGAGAGAGAAAAAAAAAATCCCTAAAGCTAAGAAATACAACTTTTGGCCTTTCAACAAATAGTTACAGTTTTATAGTCCTTCCCTCCTCTTAGATATTAGCCTTTTACTTAATGTATCTTTTTCTTAACCTTCAACCCCATAAGTCATTGTGTCTTTCCTTTCTTCTTTCAACAAAAAATGTTTCCAGACTTTTTGCAGACAAGAAAATTGTTATTTTTACCCGACCAGACAGGTCAATGTTGCCATTTCTGTGAATTCTGACATTTTCACAACCTATTTTTCTACTGTGAAGGTTTTGTTCTTCTTGCATCAAATAATCTTGCTGCAGTGACAATATACAAAATCAGTCTACCATGAATATTTTTCTAATTCACTGCCCATAAGTCCTAAGAAAAAGATTCTGGGTTCTTTGCAATATCATGATTTAAAATTTATTGCATCATTATATGAATTGGTATCCAAAATCTCTTAGCTTTCTCACAAGTCTACCACACATAGTTCCTGTTTTTTGTCATCTTTTTCATTTGCCTTTCAATTTTCCAGGTATAAAGGTCTTCTCAAATAATTTTTGCCTTCAGATTATGCATCTAAAATATCTAAAATACTTAAGCTTTACTTTTATTATCAATGTTTCTAATGAGGATGTTTTACTTCAATGATTTTTTATATTGATGATTTGTTCTGCTTGTAGGGCAACATATTTTAGTAATAGTCTCCAGCACCACAATTCAAGGGTACCAATTCTTCTTAGTTCTGATGGTCTAACTTTTATGGCTGTATGTTTCAGCTGGGAAAATCATGGCCTTGACAATTCATATTTTTTATTGCCATATATTTATGGTAGTCCTCAACTTACAATAGTTCATTTAATGACCGTTCAAAGTTAGGATGACACAGAAAAAACTGACTCGTCACCATTTTTCATGTTTATAAGCATTTCGGCATCCCTATGGTCACACGATCAAAATTCAGAAGCTTGGCTGCTGACTCTATTTATGGCAGTTGCAGTGTCCTGGGGTCATGTGATTACCTTTTATGACCTTTTATGACAAGCAAAATCAACGTGAAAGCCAGATTCACTTTACAACTGTGTGACTAACTTAACAACTGCAGTGATTCACTTAACAACTGTGGCCAGAAAGGTGGCAAAATGGGGCAAAATTCACTTAACAAAAGTTTTGCTTGGCAACAGAAATTTTGGGCTCAATTGTAGTCGTAAGTGGAGGACTAGCTGCATAGTGTGAGTTCTCTGAATATTTTGTCAAAATCTATCATTGACTTTACCACAGAAAGCAGATGTCTCTTTATTGCATGGCTTTCCTCACCAATTCTATGCATTTTTGAGCCTAGGAAGATAAAATCTTCAGCTTTCCTTTGTTTTACAGACCTGTAAAAGTTGAAAATTCAAATATCGGTCACTAAATTACTGTAGTTTGTCCTTATTGTAACCGTGATGGGTTGCTAATTATGCTGCCATTAAATGAGGACTACTTGTATACATAAATATCTTAACATGAATTTCTTGTTTTCAACTACACTATGAGCATATTTGTGGTGATACAATTACAGGATCTAAACCAGGTAGAAAATGGCTTTGTACAAATAATGTTTTGCTTAACTTAACACAATTTCATTTCCAAAAGCCACCCAGCTTTGTGGGAGCTGAACTTGAAGTTCAAAAATAACAAAACGCTCAGAGGTGCAAAACAGCTGTAAAACCAACAAAGCTGCGGTCCCTCAGAGCAGGGGTCTCCAACCTTGGAAACTTTAAGCCTGGCGGACTTCCAACACCTAGAATTCCCCAGCTGCCTGGGGAATTGTGGGAGTTGAAGTCCGCCAGGCTTAAAGCTGCCAAGGTTGGAGACCCCTGCCTCAGAGTATCTGTGTTTAACAGCAACAAAGGAGAGGGAGAAAATGCAAATTAGACACTTCAAGCCTCAGGAATGTTGGCTTCGCTGAAATACCTCCAAAGGTAACTGTTGGAAGAGGAAAACCTTTAATTATAAGCCTTTAGAATTGTAGATAACCCTTCATTACACTTCTTTAGAAGGAAATTGGAAAGGGAAAAGGAGAAGTATAAAAGTAGGGTCTTCTCCCTTTCCCCTACTTTGTTTTTGTACTGCATTTGGAAGAAGAATGAACCACTAATCCTTTCTGCACTATTAACACTGAACATAATCTCTTGTTTTGATGCAGAAATTGGTGCTGGCTTCAAGCAGCTCTGGGTGGTTCTTAAGGCATAATTACATAAGCTTAATTCTTTTTTTTCCCCCTTCCTTTTTAGGATCAAGAAGCTGAGAAAATTTTAGAAAATTTACTTCCATCTTTGAAGCTTTAATGATGACACAAAACACCATTTAGGTTCTGTGAAAAAATGCAGAAGATTCAAGTCCCTGTTCTGGAAGAAGCATTCTGTTGAATTCAGAAGGATTTCAGTCCATTTTAAAGTTAGGATTTGAGGGAATGGGGAGGAATTTAAATTTTTAATTATGGTGGTTCAGTGACAAATGAGTGGACTGACTTCTCTAAGCCTATAATTTTTGTATTTCAGGGGCTGCAATAATAACAGACTATGTGCAATATTATCAGTTCAACAGGACAGTCTTGCGTTCTGTCCATGCAATCACATTAAGGTGGGTTTTCTGAGGCCATGTGGACCATTGTATGGGGCTGCTGTTTTGTGTGAAAAAATGCAGAAGAGCGAAACCCTCTGTCCTTTTCCTCTGACAGTACCCTTCTCTAAGCGGAAGATAAAGCAATTCACTCAGGATATGGCTTTATGTTTGCAACATCAAACAGGACAACAGTTCTTTTATTTCCTTTAATTCCTTTTATTTTCTTAATATTTATCTCCAACAAACAGGTCAGGATTCTTAATCAATGGAACCAATGATCTTAACCCAGGAAAATCAACCATCTTTTCTTTTTCTCATATTTTTAATGCTTGGAAACAATGAATTTAGCATTTAAAATACTAATTTTAACTTGTTGGGACTCTCCAAAATGTGAAATCCACTGCTGGCAATGGATATATTTGTAGTTACTGAATGATGGGCACAATTTTGCTGAGAATGATTAGCTAGTTGAGTTTATGCCTGAATGCAAATGTATGTAGCTGAGTTTTTCTGCTGAAGAGACATGGGAAATATTATATTATGTATTTTTTTCTCTTGAAAAATATCGTTTTTGTGGGAAAATTATACTTTGTGGATCTTTGACTCTTAAATTGAAAAAAAAATAAAGACATGGTGAATTTGTCATATTTTGACATTTCTGAGCACCCAAATATTTTGGCATTTCCTTCATCTGGCTAATATTTCTCCTTGGAGATTCTGGCTCTGCTACAGAGGGGGAGGAAAAGAGAGAATGGATTCTGGCTAGCACACATTTCAAAGTACAGGCTGTAGATATTGTTTGAGCCCCCTGAAGAAGGAAACAGCTGACTCTCCTCCATCTTTTTTGCCAAACCAACTGCCATTCACATCCAAGCTCAAAAGAGCAAGCCAAAATGTAATCTTAAACTTGTGAGACAGACGTAAGTGATTTTAGTCCATGATGCTGTGGCCAATTAGACAGACAGACCATTCAACTGTGAAATAGAAGAGTCCATAGCCAAGGAGAAAAAAATGCCAAGGAAAATGTAATTCCTGAATAGCACTTATATAAAGTTTTAAACATTACCTATTTACTTTGTTAGAAGTCTCTTACAGTGTTTGATTGTGTTGTTCTGTAGTTTTTACCTCTCCAAATTATAAGGGACAAAACCTTTCAGACAATGGTACAATGGGCGCATGTCCCTGGAAGATGGCTGCTGAGTCTTTCGCTCCAGCTCGACTCCTCCGAAAAATGGCTTAAATGAA